GGTTGAAAATCAAATTGAGAGGAAAATCAAGTATCTTCGCACGGACAATGGCTTGGAGTTTTGCAGTGAAGAGTTCAATGATTTCTGCAAGGTTCATGGGATCGCAAGGCATAAGACGGTCAGGCACACACCACAGCAGAATGGAGTTGCCGAGAGAATGAACAGAACTCTTCTTGAGAAGGCTCGTTGTATGCTCTTATAAGCTAAGATGTCCAAAGTATTTTGGGTTGAAGCAGTTCATATTGCTTCTCATATTGTCAATTGGTCTCCAGCATCAGCGATTGACTTTAAGACTCCGAATGAGGTCTGGTCAGGTGAACCCTCTAACTATTCATACTTGCGAATATTGGGGTGTCCAACTTATTATCATGTTAATGAAGGTAAGCTTGAACCAAGGGCTAAAAAGGCCATATTCGTAGGGTATGTTGATGGAGTAAAAGGGTACAAACTACGGTGTTTGTCTTTACTCAAATTTGTTGTTAGTAGAGATGTTACCTTTGATGAATCCTCTATACTTGATCCTCGTAAAGTTTTTGTGGAGTTATCTAGAAATGAGAACAACGAGCAGGTGAAGCTACCGGTGGAGCTTACCAAGAAACGGGATCAAGAGACTTAAAGTGATGAGTCAAAAGATGCAGAAGAACTTACTTCCAATGAACCATACACAATTGCGAAGGGAAGGGACAAAAGGCGGATACGGAAACCGGAACGTCTTATAGAGCAAGAAAATCTGATTGCACAAGCGTTCGTAGCTGCAGAAGAAGAGATTAAGGATCTCGAGCCCTCTTCGTATATTGAAGCAACTTCTTGCAAAGATGCTGCACAATGGCAGTTGGCCATGATGGAAGAAATGGAGTCTCTTCACAGAAATGAGACATGGGTCTTAGTTAAAAGGCCAAAGGGGATAAGGATAGTTGGATGCAAATGGGTCTACAGAAAGAAAGAAGGTATTCCAGAAGTGGAAGCTGCTAGGTTCAAGGCGAGATTGGTTGTAAAGGGTTTCAGTCAGAAGGAGGGAATTGACTACAATGATATCTTTTCTCTAGTCGTGAAGCATAGATCAATTTGCGTGCTGCTAGCATTGGTTGCACAATTTGATTTAGAGCTTCAACAGCTTGATGTCAAAACTGCTTTTTTACATGGTGATCTAGAAGAGACAATCTATATGGATCAGCCTGAAGGTTTCCTAGCTGAAGGAAAAGAAGACCATGTATGCCAACTGAAGAAGTCTTTGTATGGTTTGAAGCAATCCCCTAGACAGTGGTACAAGAGGTTTGATGCATTCATGACTACACATGGATTTTCGAGGAGTGCATTTGATAGTTGTGTGTATCACAAGAAGATGTCTGGTAACTCTATGATTTATCTTTTGTTGTATGTTGATGATATGCTTATTGCTGCTAACAACATCACAGAGATAAATATTCTGAAGAAACTGTTGAGCAAGGAATTTGACATGAAGGATCTAGGAGTTGCAAAGAAAATCCTTGGAATGGAAATTTCAAGAGAAAATGGTGTTGTACATCTTTCTCAGAAGAGGTACATCCGAAAAGTTCTTGAAAGATTCAATATGGATATGAGCAAGCCTGTAAGTACACCTTTAGCTTCTCATTTCAAGCTTTCAGAGTTACAAATGCCTCAATCTATGGATGAGGTGGAGCATATGTCAAAGGTTCCTTATACGAGTGCAGTTGGTAGCATTATGTATGCTATGGTATGCACACGTCCAGATATTGCCCAATTTATAAGTGTAGTAAGCAAGTACATGGCAAATCCAGGAAAAAGGCATTGGGAAGCTGTCAAGTGGATATTGAGATATCTCAAAGGAGCTCCTGATGTTGGCCTAACCTTTCGGAAAAGTGAAGGTATTTCAATTCTCGGTTATGTTGATTCTGACTATGCAGGGGATCTTGATCGAAGGAGGTCCACAACTGGATACATCTTTACTCTTGTTGGCAGTGCCGTTAGTTGGAAATCGACTTTACAGTTGATTGTTGCTTTGTCTACAACAGAGGCAGAATATATGGCAGCAACGGAGGCAGTGAAAGAAGCTATCTGGTTGAAAGGTTTGGTGGCGGAATTGAGTTCAGCTCAGCTTAAATCAATTCTAAAATGTGATAGTCAAAGTGCTATTCATTTGATTAAAAATCAAAGATTTCATGAGCGCACCAAACATATTGATGTCAGATTTAATTTTATTCGAGATGTCGTAGAAAAGGGAGCTATCAAGGTTGAGAAGGTTATCACAGACGATAACGCTGCAGACATGTTGACCAAAATAGTTCCGCTTGCCAAGTTTGCACACTGCAAGGACTTGGCGGGAGTATGCATTAATTGATGCAACTCTAAGAGAACAACTGCTAGGTGGAGCTGGTATATTCAACAAAGGTTTGATTCTTCTTGTTTCTTACAATAGGGATTGCCCAGTAAGCTTAGAAGTTTTGGCCGGAGTTGTTTATACGTATGCTTGGAACACAAACCAAGGTGGAGATTGAAATAGTTGGTTTTGGTTCTTGTGGAATCAAACTAAATGGAAGATGAATTAATATGAATATTTGGTAGGAAGATAATTAGTAGGAAATACAAGTCAAAGATTGTATCTTGGTAGGTGAAACTTAGGCAAACCATATAATGGTTTGCTATCTTAACCTTGACAATTTTGACACATAGCGATGTCATGGATGACATCAATAGGATGAATTTATTCCTATAAATAGGTAGCTCTTAATTCATTTTCAAATCATCCTTTCACTTGCCTTCTCATCTTCTAAGGCATTGTGTTCTCTCTCTTGTAGTATTCACTTATATTCTTTGTATAGTGAAATAAATATTGGTGCAGTTGTTCTTTGGTGGACGTAGGATCATTTTGATCCGAACCACGTTAAATATTGTTGTTCTTCCTTGTTCTTTAGTTTCACGTTTCCGCTAACATATCTTCCCTAAAGACACCACTCCATTCACAATAATAATGAATCTAGTTATAATATCTTGAAGTGATTCACCACTCTCCATTTTAAATGCTTCATATTTAGTGCATAGTCTAGCAATTCCAAATTTTCTTAATTGGGGAGTTCCTTCTTGTGCATTTACCAGTATGCCCCAAATTTGTTTCGTTGTAGTACACCCAGAGATGTGACTATATTCATTAGGTCCAAGTGCACATACAAGGATGCACTTAGCTTTAGCATTCTTTTCGAGCATTTTATAATCAACTTCTCCATATTGAGCATTGGACTTTGGAATGACTTTTCCTTCATCACCCTGCATCACAGGAATAAGAGGATCATCAGTAACTCTCATTCATAATTCATAGTCCTTGGTTTGTTAATAATCCTCCATTCTCTCATTCCACCATGCGTAGTAATGTCCATTGAATAGTGGTGGTATGTTGATGTATTGAACTTCACTGTGTCCAAGCAGAGTTGCAGAATTCATAGACACCAACTGTTAGAATATTGACCCTCAGATTTGCCTAAGGAAAAGATATATTCTATTTGTTCCGTTGTAGATTATAGTAGCTACGTTATGTAAAGCAAATAAAGTAATGACATAATATTTTATCGCGGAAAACCTCAGCTCGTAAAGGTAAAAAAATCACGACCTACACCTCTATAAGATTTAACTCCACTTCATTAAACTCTGAATCTCAAAAAAAGATTACAGCAATATGTAAGCTAAGGAATTATAAAGTCTAATTCTTAGACACCAACAACCAACTAACTCGTCGACCCCACTTCAAGTTATGAATTCAGATTACAACTCTTGCAATCTTAGAAACTAACTCTAATTCCTAAAGTCTAACACAAACTTCCGAAGGTTTATGTTCCCAAGTTTTCAAGTTGCCCCAACTTGAAGACTCTATTCCTACTCCAGTTTATACTTCCCTGGATCTAGAAAGAATTAAGGATAAAACTCGATAAAAACTCAATACAAGCAACTTTACTTAAGAACTATAAAACTTAAGCCTATGAATCAATTCTTCGATTCTTGTTTCCTGTTTCCTTGTGTTGGCTGCACTTCGTAATCGGAAATCACTCAAATATGAACTACCTCTATTTTATAGTATTCTTCTTGTAATTCTCTGTTTGAGTGCGCAATTTTCTTAAAAGAAAATATTGTCGTATTCATAGACTTTGAACTTTTCAAAGCCTATTTCGACATGAACTCGATTTACATATCTGATCATGCTACCTAATCTGTTCCGGATTTGAAAGTTATTTACGTTGTTATACTTCTCACTCTGCTTATGCATCCTACTTCATTTACACTTCCTACTTCGCTTAGGATTTCTTTATGAAAGGAAACCTCTTTGCACTGGTTTCTTGTCGATAAAGCAACCCTTCCACTGTTTTATAACTCTTAATTTGCGTTGTTGACATTCTCCTTATCCCATCCGGGTTCGGTCTGAAAGGAACATGTCAGCTCCAAGTTCCTTTAGTATGTTCCTCTATTTGTCAGTTGTCAAAATCTTTCTCGATCTAACAAGATCAACTTTTTTTTTATGTATGTGTATCTGTACACATAATTGGTTCATTGTGAGGCGATCAGGATTTGTAATATGTACAGTGGACTACACATCCTGGATTGCCTCACAAGAACCAATTATGAAAGGAGAAAAATCCAGTGACCAACACTAGGCGTTATGAAAACGTTACTCTTCCCATCCTAAAATGTCAATTACTTATTTATCATGAGTTAAGATTACTTCTTGGGAATTAGCTCCTGAGTAATCACCCCTATAAAAGCTATAGAATCACTACCTTGTAAATCATCGGATTCTTTTACAAAATACTTCAATTTCTCTCTAACAATTTTGTTACTTGTTCATTAGCTTTGAGCAATCTTCAAGCTTTTCCTAAGAAGTGTATCTTTGGATTCAAGCCAACGCATACTACATTTGCTTATTCATTTTATGTTATCTCATTTATTATTTATGTACTTTTTTCATCTTGATCAATTCAATCCACTTGTGCTTTAAAGCTCACATAGAAATTCAACTATACCTTTTTTTGATAAACAGTAAGTGATTATATCTATTGTTTTTCTCTAGTACCCCAGAGTTTCAACATATGATATGGTGGAATGAGGTGGTCCGAAAGATGAATAAAATGTTGATGCTAGTTGCAATTGACGATCAGCTTAAATCAGGGTTGCTTGAACTTGATAGGTCGTTCATTCGTGTGGAGAATCTCACTCGTTACTTGAGATTTTTGTATCAGTTTCATATGAAGGGATTTCAAGTTATATTCCACTTGTGAAATTCTTGCATCCATTCTCTTCCTTGTTATTTTGTTCAACTAATTCAGTAGGACAACTTTTGCAACCTCGTAACAACAACATTAAACCTTCAACTAACTTAATAAATATTCAGTAAACCAAATTTTGACCCATATAATGATATGGTGAACAAATGAGTGTACAAAATGCATTATATTTACACAAAATGTTTGTGTAGTAGTATGCTTTATTTATATAGAAAAAAACACTTAGAAATTCATCTCATGAGTTTGTAGCCTTCATACGTTTGTCTCCAAAAATTCTACTCAGAACTCAATAATCTACAAAATGCGAATATCCATATACTAATACAAATAGTAACATCAGTACCTAAAAGCTTTGGCTTCAAGTACCATTCTTCAGAGAAGCACCTTGTTGCAAGTAGAGGCAAATGACAGTGCTGTCATCTCTCTTGCTGTTAGGAAACCTCTGTTTCCATGCATCTAACGAAGCTTGTACTACTGTCTCTGCCGCTGCTGCTGCATTATTTGTTGCACACACTATGGAAACGACTTGATCATTGCTCAGCACATCCCACACCTATTTTTATATAAAATGAAAATAAACATGTCAAGTCTTGTAGAAACAGAACAAAATATACTAGTACATAGTTGAAAATAGGCTTACCCCATCAGTTGCTAGAACAACAAACTGGTCATTCGGAGTAATGTGGTGATAAGAGACATCAGGCTCGGAGATTATGCCGAAATATTTTAGCATTAAATCCCCATATGATCTTGTCATGGCCAAACCAGGAACATCTTCATTGGGTAAATACACTCTCTGGATATGTGGCTCTTCTTTCCGTGCAAAAACTCTGCCACCACACCTCCTTATTCTTTCTACTTCAGCTGTATGCATCAAACAGTGTATGATCATTTAGTCACTAATAAACAAAAACAGCATATCCAGTGTAGTTCCACATAGTGGAGTCTAATGTACGCAGACCTTACCTCTACCTCACAAACTGTTTCCGGTAGACCATTACTAAGAACAATTTGAAATTGAATTATGCCAAGTGTGTCATGTCAATATTATGAAAAGAAGAGTCTTACAAGTCAGACTAGGCTTCAAATCCGTAGTTAACTGAACAGCCTCAATTACTCCCTCCTCTGTCTTTCTTCCTAGTACAGCTCGAGAATCTCCTAGGTTGGCGATAACTAGATCATCATCCTATAATATTTCCATATTAGATTCTCCAAAACTTTTAGCAATATTCACGATAATCAGGTCAAATGAAAGATTTTTCTCGTTACCTGTCTTATAGCAACCACAGCAGTTGTTCCACTGAAAGAACAGTCCAAATTTTCAAGACTTTTAATATCTTTATCCATCACCATAAAGGAACTCCAACAAACCTTTTTCCACTTGTTAAAATTCCTTCTCATCACATTTTGTTTCACAGAAAAGATTTTTGGCAGAGAAAATGTAAGTTTCAGCAGCAAAGATGGCAACTTAGTCATAACAAACTTGCTTACTATGTGTCCATTCTCTCCATGTCCATCAAAAACTCCGCCAAAAACTCCATTTTCTACACCATAGCGCTGCCATAAAAAGGAAAGTTTCCATCTTTATACACCCCATGTAATTAAAAGAGTATAATACATAAACACAATACTTAACTTGACATCAGCTGACAACCATGACCTTTAACTTCTGATATTCCATGTATTATGTCATGTAGGACACGTGTTTCTACTTGTTCAATTTTTATATAAGTTTAAGTTTTTATTTGTACAGACTCAAAGTTGGAGGGCACAGCCGTTGGCTGAAAGCAAGTTAAGATCATGTTTGCGCAGAAAAACTAAATAAACATGTTGCAAAATGACAAACCTGATAGAGAATAGCAGAATCTTGATTGATTCCTTTATTTCCTTGTTGAGAAAAAACAGAACCAATTACACATTGGTTCTCATTAATGTTGTTATCATCATAATGAACAACATTTTCATTACCAAAACCAACAGGTTGAATCTCAAAAGATTCAGAGGATATGCAGATTCCCATATTGTAAACTAATTATTTTTCTTTATTTTTGATGCTTAAAGAGAATCCTTTATATAAAAGAAATATTGTTATACTATTGGAAAGAGTTGAAAAAATGAGATTAATGAATATTCTGAATAATAATTGTGGCTGATAAGGATTAGAAAAAAAAAATGATTCAGGGTCAACAATTCACTTTTTTTAATTATGATGTATTATTTTAGATTACCCCAAGATTCAGTTTAAGGGGCATCTGAGTAGGATTAATTAACATAAGCACACTTTGATTATTATTTAATAAAGGTAATACTTCAGCTTTAACACCTCAGCAAATAGTTTATGATGAATCTTAATTTCTAAGAAGAAACCTAAGGATGTTAAGTGTGTTAAGTTGAACCTCGGTAATTATAATCCCTGGCCATCTCAAATTATTTATCGTATTTCATTTTCTACACACCCCAAAACATTAATTTTGTCTATTTTATTCATGTTTATATCTTAAGATATAATATTTCTTCATTAAGTATTCACTTTATTTGTGTGTTATCGCCCTATAATTAAAGGGTATGTAATTTTTCTGCACAATTACTATTAAAGATAAAATAGAAAAAGATAATGAAATTTATCTTAAACTTTTAAAATACTACTTAATAAACAAGCTAAGATAACTAATTTAAGAAATCACAATGAGGAAGAGAGTATTCATTCTTTTCAACAATAGTTGTTCACTATTTACTTGACATGTATATAACCTTAAGAAATAATATATATAAGTGTAATATTATTATATTATATTTTAATTTTATTAAATTTAATGCATTGAGAAATGTGTTAGATGATAAATAATACTTTTAATAGCAAGGATAAAATAGCTATAAAAAATAAATAATCTCTTGATTTTCTAAATTTGACACGTATTATTGAATAATTGCTTTTAAAATAAATAACTATTGAACGGAGAGAGAGTAATTTAAACGAGTAAAGTGGGAAGTCTAGTTTTTTTTAGCTGGTAACTTAAACCAAAGATCAATTAGACATCTTGCGTCACTTTGAATGTGTTGACTTCTTAATACCGTTGCTTAATTTTAATTTTAGTGTTGACTCATTCCAACATGTTGTCATCATGGTAATATGAAGGAATCAAAGAATTTGGAAAACAAATAGATTTGACATTAGATTACTTGTTCATATTCTTGAGAATCAAACAATAATATAATATTTCTTTATGATTCCTATTTGCCACCGCATAAATTTAATATTCTGACAAATAAGGAAAGATGTCTTTTCCAATATTTGAAAGCTTATCAAGAAATTCATCCAATCATATACAAGTCTTGTTATTCCAAGCAATATTTTTCTTTGCTTCTTGTCTTAGAAGACAGATGTTTCTCCTTAAGTTTTAATTTATACCCAACTCTTTTGCTTTTAGTTGATTAAAAAGGAATAATTTTTTTTGATATTAGTAATAAATGATTTTTTTTATATTACTTTCGGTTTATTTTTACTTGTCATTATATAATTTGACACTCATATTAAGAAAATAAATATTAAAATAGATGTTTTATGATACTACCCCCTATTAAATGATATTTAGTATTAGATTTTGGAAAATTATTTAGAGAATAAGTGTTTAGTAGTAACGGTTAAATTTTAAAATATTTATTTTTAAGCTTAACGAGATAATTTATACTTGCATAAATATCCTAATTTATTTTAAATCACAATAAGTCTTTTTAACTTTTTTTCCTTAAACTTGATGTTCAATGAATATCATCACATAAATTTGGACCTTAATGAAGGTAATAACTAGCATTATATTCCTCTTTTAATTTATTTGAACAAACATTATTTATTCATTTCTCGTTTAATTCAATTTTTTTAAAAATAGTTTTGAGCAAAGAAAGAGGTAGGCTATGACTAGCTTGGCCAATCAATTAACAAAGTTGATAAGTTGTATCTGACTAATAATTAATGATATTTCTTAGTCAAATGTCTTATCAAGAAAAGTTTATTTGAATGTGTCTTATATTTAAGAGAAAACAATTTTAATATTATCACAACATAGTGCATTGTAAAGGGAGCTAATCTTTATACAAAATTTAGCATATATGATATATAATATTAGGTTAGCTTTTTTCTTTGTGAATAATATAACATTTCGTTATAAAGATTAATTTTCACCTTTAGGCGGTCATATGATATATATAATGAGGAATGAATATAATTATAAGATGTCTTTTCAAATTGTTGAAAGCTTAACAAGAATTTAACCTGTCTAATTTTATCTAGTGTCATGATTTTAATAAAGTCGATTTGGCCAAGCTATCAAAAAAGTTTTATTATTTAAACAATAGCACGTTAATGAATGGATGATGCAATATAACATAGTTCTAATCGAGGCTAGTAAGAAATTAAAATCCCCTTTTTAGTGTCAGTTAAGTTCACGTTTACATTATTATTTTTAAATTCAATCTGAATTATGTTGCTTATCATGTTATTTATCATGGTGTTTATGATTTCCACTCAAAAGAAACCAATAGATTGGAATAAAAAAGAAATTACTTAGCTAGAATTAGAGACTTCTATTGGTATGTTAAGTGGAAAATTTTGAATTTCAAATATTTTCATGACAAAAGCAAGAATATTATCTTTCTCATTACATAAAATTTACATTAAAGTTTTAAATATATGACATTTAGTGTATGGCATATGGAAGCAACTTGACATCATTCCTCTTTTCAACTTAAAATATTCATTTCTTACGGATATTTATTTATTTCTCGTAGAATCTATTTCTATTTTACGCTCTCCATTTTTATTTATATATCATTCTTATATTATCTTTAATATTTATTATTTTGCAAAAAATAATAGTGAAAATTATTTATCTGGATGATTTTTTAATATATATATATATATATATATATATATATATATATATATATATATATATATTGGTTCACAAATTCAGTAATATAAAATAGAGAAAATAGTATTTAGCTAAGGATGAGTAGGGTATGAAAGAATTGGCCCTACAAAGTTGATAAGTACGTTGTAGCTGCCAAACATACTTTTATCCCATCATTTGAACTAAAATGTGATATTCATGGAGCTTAATTTTGTGGTTGGATAATGGGAGATCACTCATTGAATTAATGTATACTAAAAGAGAGAACTTTTTGATAGTAATGGATACCTAAATTGAATTTCTATACATTTATTTGCATTTAATTAAAAACTTGTTTGACTATATTCAAATTTTTAAATAAACTATGATGACAAATGTCTTAATTCATGCGTCATATCATACTAAGAACAATTCATTTTCTTATCTTTATAATGTACAGAAATTGTTACGGTCAATGCATCATCATTTTCATAATAATGGAGATAAAAATTAATAAATGTATAAGAAAAAATGGATAATATGCAATATAATATCTCAATTAGAAACAGAAAATTAGGATTAATATCAGCATTATAGTGTTGTTGGCATCATGCATATGTGACTTAAACAAATAATTAAGGCTGATTAGAGGAGAATGATTGTGCTACTAAATTAGGTTGAAGGTTAACATAAGAAATATAAAAGATACAAGTACTAACTATGATGAATCACTTGAATATTTGGATAGAATTCATGTTAGTTAAATTGTCGTGAAAATTCTTTTTATATAGATGACAGTGAGATTTAATTTCATGACATTCATTTACTCTAATATCATGTTGAAATGTTAGACTATCATCTAAAAATTTAATCAATAGGAGAAAGCATATATATAATTATATTTTCAATAGGGTAATGGTGTGTGAAAATCTAATTAAACATATGATATGCAGGATCATTAAATAGAATACGAACATAATTGAATCAATTCTTTATTATCTTAATTTGTCAATTCTCAAATGAATGAAACATTTTTTTTTCTCTTTTTAATGATTCAATGACATTTTTAGCCTTAAAATCTTAAAATCTTTGGCTCAAATTAAGTTTAGATTACAAAAACTGGACTACTTATTTACTTTAATTTATTTTACTCATTAAATGTACAGAATTAAAATTTCAAAAATGGACTTGAAGTAGTAACTCAAATAAAAACATGCAAAAACTCGATTTATAAAGATTTTGAATTCATTTATGACAAATTATACGATGTTGTTTTCACCTTTTCAATTAAACTCGATATAATTTTTTAAATATTGAATTTTCCATTAGAAATGTTGCCTCATTTTGCTTGTGTTGACTTTTGGAATCTATTGCTCTTAAATTTTAATTTTTCATTCTTGCACGTAAGGATTTTTATGGGAATAAAAAAATATTCCATAAGCTATATAATTGGCGGTACCAAAGCAAATATATGTTGATAGAGATAACTGGTTATCTCGTTCAATATTAATTTGACACACTATAAATAAAATGATACTTTTGTTCTATAATTTTTTATTAAAATTAACTTAATATTTTAAAATAATACATTGAAAATGACTATAACTAATGATAAGAATAAAATAAAAACTAAGTGATAAATTAATAAGGAAAAACAACTTAAATACACAATTATAAGTTTTATATTCTCTAATTTTTCCTTCTTTTTTTAAATATTACATAATTTCTTTTATTTTAATTTTAGTAGAAGTGTATAGATACATAACATTCTCTCTCCTATAATACACAATCCCCCAATATAATGCCTATTTTTTCTCCACTAAAACACTCAATCTTCTAAATCAATTTTTGAATTTTGAATTATTAATTTTAATTAATTTTAAATAAAACACCCAATTTTGAAATTTTAAATTTCAAAAAACTGCACAATTTCTCTCCCGTTCTTATTGTTCTTCTTACTCCATCACGTCTTCAATTCTTCTTACTCCATCATCGTCTTTCTTCTTCTTAACTCAGCATCGGTTATTGATTTCTTCTTTTTCTTATTATTCCATCATCAGTTCTTCTTTTCTTCCTTTTTTTGTTTTGGTTAATTGTTCTATTACATCATAGTAATGGATCCGTTAATTAATAGAAGAATATATGATTCCGACGATGAAAATTGGAAAGAAAATAGAAAAAAAGTCTTTGCATGATCCTATGAATCTTCAGAAGGATTCAAACAAAGACTCCGGCAAAACATCAAAATCAAAGGTTGTCAAAATACAACAAAAAATGAAAAAGGAAGCAGCAAACATTGTTGTCAGGCCTACATTGTTTCGGGTTTGTATTTTTATACTTATTTTAAAATTGTTGTTGAAATTAGTAAAAATTTTAAGGAATCCAATATGCATCAAAAAATTATGAAAATTATTATCATGTATCAGACAATAGGTTTAACACATAAGTACTAAGTGGATTATAATGTTTAGTCTATGATTTGATACATGAATTAGATGTGTATCATATGATTTTCTATGTATCAACGGTTTTTGAAATTTTTTATCATGTATCAGTGATTAATTTCAATAACTGCGCCATCAAGTGTGCTTGCTGATACATTTTGAATCAGTGTGTATAGTGTTTTAGACGATGCATTGATACATGAAGTGTTTGCTGATACATTTTGAATCAGTGTGCTTGCTGATACATTTTGAATCCATCAAGTTTGTATAGTGTTTTAGATGATGCATTGATACATTTTGAATTCATCAAGTGTGCTTGCCGATACATTTTGAATCAGTGTGTATAATGTTTTAGACGATGCATTGATACATGAATTTGTTGTGTATCATAATATTTTTTATGTATCATGCGGTTTTGAAAATTGTATTCAAAATAGATGATATAATCTTTGATTTTCAAAATTTGAAATTAATATTCAATAATTTAATGCTGATTAATGATCTGTTACCGTAAATTAAGCTATTTTAGTTAACAAGTTTAAATGTACCGTTTTCCCCCATTTTTTTCTTAACAGTTTAAATTTACCATGTATCACTAGAGTCTAAAGTATCACGACACAAAAAATTTAAGGGATTTTTAGTAAATACTAAATTTGTCGGGACAGTGTAATTATTGAATTACACTATGAGATTCCTTAAATTTTTACAACAAAATATAACATTTAAAAAAATATGTGGACTCTTTAGCCCAATTTCTTCAACTTCTTGATTTGTTTGGATCCTTCCAACTCGGGACATGTATGTCAATTTCATGTCTTGACTTGATAAAGGAATTTTGAGCCTTCATGGCTCTCCCGAAATGCAACAAAAGAAGGTAAGAGTTTATGCGAACTCAAACGAGTTTTTACACGCATCCGGATCTACGCCGTATATCAACAGATTATGGTTTCGAGGGTCATCCATTACGAAAAGACCTTCCTCTGAGTGGATATGTGGAAGTACGCTATGATGATCCAGAGAAACGTGTGGTTTCTGAACCCATTGAGATGACCCAAGAATTTCGCTATTTCGATTTTGCTAGTCCTTGGGAACAGCGTAGCGACAGATGCTGGGTGGCATGGAACTAGTGGTAATTAATCCATCTGCTGATGGTATAAGTGGCACATACCCGACCTTCACTGGAAGTGACATAAAAAAGACAGCTGAATAAAAAAGAAAGATGTCGTAACAGGCTTTTCTTCTGTAGAAGACTTCTTCCGAATGGCATAATTGTCCGACACTACGTTCCTCGATCTTCAAAGAAAACTGACTCCTCCAACTCCTCCTTCTCCTTTAGGATAGGATCCTCCTTGGTTTGGTCCTTCTTTCACTAATGGTCTCACCATTTTCTAGTAGTAGTAGTTCGCGCGAGGGACTTTTCTATCGCTTGCCCTTGCCGGTTCAACGAACGAATGAAGCTATGATCCGGATAGAGATGGTGGTCTTCCTCTGATGTCTCCAAGCCGGCCATAATAGAATAGATAGGCGAAGCGGTCAATAGACAAATAAAGGAAAGGAGTTAAATGTAGTCCAACCAATACAAATACTGGGAAAAATACCTTAGCTTTCTGGAAAGGGCATTTAAAATGGGAAATTGACAATTCGAACAACAAATCCTCAAAGGAAATTGCACAGGAGTGCATGGAACAACAACAACAATTTTATAGAAAAAATAAAGAAAGTAATAGTCGCTTTAGGAAGTAAGCCAGCAAGTTGAAGAAATCACCCTTACCAATTAATGGATTTTTAGTCCTGTAATAATTTACTTAACAGTGTTACACTATCCTAAGCGATCCTTCGACGGAATAATGAGATCAGAACAAACTTAAAAAAAGAAGAAGAAGCTATAACTAGACAAGAATGCAAGATGAAGTGAACACGACTATAGGTAAAAGCATGAGAAAATCAAATCAATGCAAAGTATTTCAACTAATTTGAAACAGTAAGCAGAAGAGCATGAAGTAGAATATACAACAATGAAGGTCACTTAAGGGATTCAAGTCGAACCGACACATACGACTCTAAAGAAAACCGAATGAACCGAACTAAAGGTAACAAGGTTGATATGCTAATTATGATACTTGACAGTAGCACATACATATACTAGTGAGCATTGGAACTTAAAGAGTCAAAGAGAAAAGCAACTGGAGCATATTGTTTCTAAGCAAAAACGGAGCTAAAATGCATATATATATATATATATATATAAATTTAAAAAAACTGCGAACTCTTGTCATATTCACAATAACTAATGTCAACACAAAGAAAATCAGCTACTAGAAACTCCAGAGTACGACCAAGATCGATTGGGGTACTCTTTACACTACAATTGATATGCACTCTTTCAGTGAACAAGGTAGAACAAACCGGAGTAGTATCTATAATTTTCTGGAAAAAATAGCGCATTCAAACCGGAATGAACTGTGTCTAAGCGACAGAAACCAAAACCAAATATTTAAAGATAGACGAATCAGCCAAACTTCGAAACAACTTACACAAAGCCAGACCTCATTTTCCCAACAACACAAAAAAATCAATCTAAGAAACTAAAAAATAAAACCTTCAGGAAAAGAGGAACAAATTTTGGACACCTCCAAAACAAGTAATGCATAAACCACAACATCTCGATAGGAATGAACAATAATCAAAACAAGATCAGGATAAGCATAACCAACAGCAAGAAACTCGAAGAAACCATGAGTAGAGAAAAAAAACAAGCTTCGAACAAATACTAAATCACCTTGAAAACGAAATACATATTCATCATTTCAAAACGATCAATACTACAGGAAAAGATTTAAACCTGGACTATCATATAAAGTCCTTTTGAGTTGGCAGATGACAGAAACAGGATTTAACATAAATAGTTCAAACGATTGAAAGAGTCACGAGCTGTTTACCTTGTTGTAGGCAGCGAACTTGGAGACAGCGACGAGCAAGAGACCAATTCACCAACACACGAACACAAACACGAGCAAAATAAGAAAACCTTTCTTCAATATCTTTTTTTTTCAAAAAAAAAAAAAATCCGAAAAGAAATCCTTCTCCAAGATTTCCTTTTCACAAAAATCTCTCTGCTTTTTCTATTTAGAACGAGAAATTACCAACTAAAAAAAAAAAGTCAACTCCTAAATCTTTCTCCCAGAGTCTCCTACCCCTGGTTTGAACGCTAGAGAGAATATATATAAAGGGTTCCAAACTTGGGGAAAGATGGATAAAATTTGGATCATCCCTAGGCCCATTTCGAATTCAGAATCCAAGTCTTATCCGAAAATCGAATGTTAAGAAACTGAATTGGAGAAAGAAAACTCCATTGAAGAGTAAAAGGAAGAACAGAGAAGCAATGAGGAAGAGGAGGAAAAATCTGATATTGAAACTTAACCGTACTAATGCTACTTACAAGCATATATAATGACTCAAAACCCCAACTAATTTACTGACCTTTGCTAACAAACTAACTAACTAACTAACTAACTATATTTACACTCTTAACAATGTTTAATTACAATTAGTAATGCTAGGGAACTTGTACACATTTAGTTAGTTCTTTTACACCCCCCCTTCAAGCTAGGAGCTATGAAGATGTTCTTCATTCCTAGCTTGGACATTAAATACTTATGATGGCCTTTTCCAAGTGCCTTGGTAAGCATATCTGCAGGCTGTTCTGAAGATGATAGATAGGCAGTGATAATCATTCCATTCTTGATTTTCTCTCTAATGAAGTGACAATCAATATCTATGTGTTTTGTTCTTTCATGAAACACAGGATTGGCTGCAATTTGCAATGCTGAAGTACTATCTGAATGAATCGACACTGGTAAAGAGATATCAACTCCTAATTCCTTAAACAAACCAACGGTCCAAACAATCTCTGCAACAGTTGAGGCCATGGCTCTGTACTTAGCCTCAGCTGAACTTCTGGAAACTGTAACCTGCTTCTTAGACCTCCATGAGATAAGTGATTCTCCATATTTGATTAAGTAACCAGTGATTGACCTCCTGCTGTTTATGCATGAACCCCAATCAGCATCACAAAATACTTGTAAACTATCTCCCCCAATTGATGACATTAGAATTCCCAAACCTGGTTCTGTCTTCAAATATCTGACCAGTCTGAGTGCTGAATTCATGTGTGAAATTTTTGGTGCATGCATAAATTGACTTAGACATTGAACTGCAAAAGATATGTCTGGTCTAGTGGTGGTGAGATACAATAACCTTCCAATCAATCTTTGATAACTTGCAGGATCCTCAAGAAGTGTATCATTATGTGAAGAATCCATGTGATCATCATATTCTGTGGAAGTGAGTTTTAAATTCATTTCCATAGGTGTTGATACTGGTTTAGCACCTGATAATCCCATGTCAGCTAGTAACTCTAAAGTATACTTCCTCTGGTGTATGAGTATCCCACTGTCACTTCTAGCAAACTCCAATCCAAGAAAGTATCTTAGTTCTCCTAAGTATTTAATCTTGAATGCATGTTGCAAAGCTGCTTTAGTCTCATGAATCATATTGGAATCATTTCCTGTTATTAGTAAATCATCTACATACACTAATACCACTACTAATCTGTTGTCCTTCCTTTTAGTGAACAAAGAGTAGTCTCTATTGCTCTGAATGAATCCTGAATCAATCAAGGTAGTAGTTAGTTTAATATTCCACTGTCTTGAAGCTTGTTTAAGGCCATAAAGAGATTTCAACAATCTGCAAACTTAATCACTGCCAACTTTTCTATTAAGACCTTCAGGTGGTTTCATATATACTTCTTCATATAAATCTCCTTGTAAAAATGCATTGTATACATCCATCTGATGTATTATCCAGTGATTAGCAGCTGCAATAGATACAACAGACCTCACAGTTGCCATCTTCACCACTGGAGAGAAAGTTTCTTGGTAATCAAATCCTTCCTTTTGATTGTACCCCTTAGCAACTAGTCTAGCCTTGTATCTCTCTACACTTCCATCTGCATTATATTTGATCTTGTATACCCATTTACAACCTATAGCCCTTTTATCCTTAGGCAATGTCACCAGTTCCCATGTGCCATTATCTTCTAGTGCTTTGATCTCATTCTTCATAGCATCTATCCATCTAGGATCTTGTAATGCCTCTAAGTAACTTGATAGTTCAGTTTCAACAGAAAACTTTGACACAAAACTTTGATATGTAGGTGATAATCCTTCATAGTCTAAGACTGATGCAAGAGAGTAATTACATTTCTTAGAACCAGCTGTGACTACATCGTCTTTGTGCCAAACAGGAGGCCTAGAGTTTCTGCTTGATTTTCTTAAAGGTGATGGAGTAATGTCACATGAAACTTGTGATAAATCATTTACACAATCCTCACAATTCTGAGAAGAAGGAGAAACACTGTCTTGGCAAACAGTTGAAGAAGTAGAATCTGCAACTAGGACATCATAATCAAACATATCTGCAGGCTGTACTAGCTGAGTCTGTTTAGGAGTGTGATCATGAAAAGTAAAGACTGTTTCCAGGAAAGTTACATCCCTGCTAATGAAGAATCTCTTGTTTTCCAAATCATACAACTTGTATCCTTTTTGAGTCGTACCATATCCAATCAAAACAGCTCTAATTGCCATTGGACTAAACTTATCATGTGTAGTAATGTTAGTGGCAAAACACATACATCCAAGAGGAGGTCTTCCATATAATCTCTCAAAAGATGATACATTCCCTAAAGTTGTAGAAGGAATTCTGTTCAACACATGAGTAGCAGCATAAATACATAATCCCCAAAATTTGTCAAGAAAACCAGCTTGAAATTTGATAGCTCTTGCAGTTTCTAAAATATGTCTGTGTCTTCTTTCCACTACCCCATTTTGTTGAGGTGTATATGCACAAGAACTCTCATGAATGATGCCATGAAGTTTAAACAAATCATCACAATTGGTATTGAAGAATTCAGTGCCATTATCAAATCTTATCCTTTTAATCCTCTTATCAAACTGAGTTTCTATTTCAGCAACAAATTGTTTTAGCAAACTAACAACATCAGATTTAAGTCTCATTAAGAAAGTCCAAGTCCATCTAGAATAGTCATCAACTATAGTCAAAAAATATCTCATACCATCATATGTTTCAACTCTAAAGGGACCCCAAACATCCATATGTAGAAGCTGAAAAACACATGTAGAACTACTAGTACTGTGTGGAAAAGGCAATCTTGTCTGTTTAGCAAGAGGACATATATCACATTTATGTAAAGCAAACTTATTACCAAACTTGTGAAATGATGAAATCTTTCTGATGACTCCCATGGGAACATGTCCCAACCTTTGATGCCATATATTTGCATTTGCCTCCACACTCTGAATGGTTGTCATGCAATGGTGTGGTTGTAACATATTGTTGTGATCATACTGACCAGGCTGCGGGTAGAAAGTGTAAAGTCCATCTTCCTCTTAACCAATCATTCTCACCTTCCCAGATCCTAGGTCCTGTAAAACACAACAACTTGGGTAAAATGTGACACAGTAATTCAAATCTTTTGTCATTTGAGACACTGACAGAAGATTGAATTTGAAAGCTGGTACACACAATACTCTTCTAAGAACATCACCTCCTCCTATGTGACAATCTCCAACATGTGAAACCTTGGCAGAAGTACCAGTTGACAGCTGAACTTGACCTGCATTCTCTACCATAACTGAATTACATAAACATGTATGGTCTCTTACTATATGATGGGATGCTCCAGTCTCTATAATCCACTTCAGAGAAGTATGATTACCTGTCATATTTGCTGTACCACTTATATCTTCAAGTTTAGTTTGATCAAGCATTTTGAGTAATTTCTGATGTTTCAATGGAGTGAATAAAGGCATATGAGAATTGTAATGTGAAGAAGGCATCTGAGATTCATTGTTATGTGAAGAAGAAACACTTGGAGGCTGGAGTTGCATCTTATTAGAGAATGATGATTGCATCATCTGAGGCATCTGAGAATTGTAAGATGATTGAACTGTTTCTGTCTTATCACATTGATACTATTGAGACACATGTCCTGCATTATAGATAGAATTCCCAACAACAATTGTACTTCTTTTACCTTTGTATTCAGCAGGATATCCAATTAGTTTATAGCAATTACTCTTAAGATGGCCTGTTTTGTGACAAAAATCACACTTTAGAAGTTTATTACAATCACTTCTCATGTGACCTTTGATATTGCAGTAATCACAAAGAGCATTTGGATTATAAGATCTTCTAGGTTTATGACCACCAGGACCAGAATTAGACGTAAACATTACAGTAGGAACCATATCAGTCATTACTCTACTTGATCCAGCTACCGTTCTTTGGCTTTCATCTTGATTAACTATAGCATATGCTTGATTGATGCTAGGAAGTTGTGGCATTAAATGAGCTCAGATATTAATGAACTCTATAGAAGAGTTATCTATCGGAACAATACCCTTACCTTTCGCAGTTGCATCTCCGTACCTCCAGAACCCCGTAAGTTTCGGAAATCCGTTTGGACTTCCTGAAAGTAGGGGCTATGGCGTCTCTCCATTTGGAGACTCAAAGAATTTGGCTTCTAGCCTGACTATAATTGTCATTAAGCCCCATTAAAAACTGTAACATTCTCTGATGTTGTGATTGCTCAAAAAATTCTTTAGATCTAGAACATGTACAAGCTGGTGGAGGCATTATAGAATCATATTCATCCCACAAATCCTTCAATCTAGAGTAATACAATGACACAGACGAGACACCTTGAACAAGAGTAAAAATTTCCTTATGCAGCTGAAAAATACGAGAGCTATTTACCTTGTTAAACCTTTCCTTAAGATCTTCCCAAATCAAGTATGAATTTGAGCAATAGAGAACTCCACTATGAAGATCTTTACTTACATTGCACAATATCCACGAAACAACTATGGCATTACAGCGATCCCAAGTCGAGTCAAATCCCCTGTGAACTGTGTCTTCTTCACTATTCCATCGATAAATCCAACCTTATTCTTTCCAAGCAAATCTAACTCCATAGCCTTGCTCCATAAGGTATAGTTATCACTTCCAGTGAGTAAGATCCCAACATTCAACGATCCAGGTGAATCTGATGGATACAGATACAAAGGATGAAGATGATCAAAAGAAGGAGGAGCTGAAGCTGGTATGGAAGTTTCTGAAGCAGTTCCTTGATCCTCCATGAAATCGAAGAAGAAGAAAATCAACTAATAAGAAGAAATTCAACTGAAATATGAAAATCCTTTATTGGATATGTAGGAATTGTTCAAATCCAGGCTCGTGTGGCTTTGATACCATGTTAAGAAACTGAATTGGAGAAAGAAAACTCCATTGAAGAGTAAAAGGAAGAACAGAGAAGCAATGAGGAAGAGGAGGAAAAATCTGATATTGAAACTTAACCGTACTAATGCTACTTACAAGCATATATAATGACTCAAAACCCCAACTAATTTACTGACCTTTTCTAACAAACTAACTAACTAACTAACTAACTATATTTACACTCTTAACAATGTGTAATTACAATTAGTAATGCTAGGGAACTTGTACACATTTAGTTAGTTCTTTTACAAATATTCCTTCAATTCCAAGTGATATCGAACAAATTTAAGGCGAGGTGGAGGGATGAGATCGATTCCTTGTAATGGTTGGGCGACATAGAGTTATCTCACCTTGTCAAGGACA